GTCCAGAGAAGAGCAACAAGAATGATTAAAGGTCTTGAGATTATGACCTATGAAGGCTGAAAGAATTGGGTTTGTTTAGTTTGGAAAAGAGAAGACTGAGAGGGGACAGGATAGCAGTTTTCAGGTATCTAAAAAGGTGTCATAAGGAGGAGGGAGAAAACTTGTTCACCTTAGCCTCTAAGGATAGAACAAGAAGCAATGGGCTTAAACTGCAGCAAGGGAGGTCTAGGTTGGACATTAGGAAAAAGTTCCTAACTGTCAGGGTGTTTAAGCACTGGAATAAACTGCCTAGGGAGGTTGTGGAATCTCCATCTCTGGAGATATTTAAGAGTAGGTTAGATAAATGTCTATCAGGGATGGTCTAGACAGTATTTGGTCCTGCCATGAGGTCAGGGGACTGGACTCGATGACCTCTCGAGGTCCCTTCCAGTCCTAGAATCTATGAATCTATAAAAATTCAAATCAATTGCACTGATCTAAAGATACAACAGCAGCAGGACTATAAGTTCCTGTGCTGGATAACACTGTGTCAATCAGCAATCTGTCAGTCACTAATACTAAAATACATACGGCAGACAGCTTTGGTATCTAAGACAAAATATTGTACATGAATAACCGTATACATGTGAGTAGCCTCACACGTTCAGTGGAACTACATGTGTGTTCAGTAAGACTCAAGTGCATGAAGTTACTCACATGCGTAAATATTTGCAGCATCAGGACCCATCGCTGTAATAAAACTCAGACAGGGAACTGAATGCTAAGATTGCTTGTTTTTAAACTCAGTTTTGGGAAAGGCCCAGTTGTTTGAGATAAGGCAGGAATAGTTGTCTAACTGAATAGTCCCTTCAGTACTATTTCTAGACAAGTGTGTAATGTCCATTTAATTTTTTTCCCCAACAGAGAAGTGATTATCCAAATAAACTGGAATAATTCTGCATCTGTTTCAATGAAGAGGGCTTTATAACAAGCATTAACAAAACCACAACTCTAGAAATGACAGAACAAGGAGCAATGGTCTCAAATTGCAATGGGAGAGATTTAGGTTGGATATTAGGAAAAACTTTTTCACTAGGAGGGTGGTGAAGCACTAGGGAAGTGGTGGAATCTCCTTCCTTAGAGGTTTTTAAGATCAGGCTTGATAATGATTGGGGATGATTTAGATGGGGATTGGTCCTGCTTTGAGCAGGAGGTTGGACTGGATGACCTCCTGAGTTCTCTTCCAACCCTAATATTCTATGATTCTATGAAATGTCTTTGAAACACTTCAAAGATCTAAATATTTCCAACTCTTTTGAGAAAGCCAGTTTTATATTGCTACTCAAAACTTATCTTGCACACGGTCCAAAGAGGGCTACATGTAATTACAGAAAAAGACTTAAATGAAAATAGTTGAAGATAGTAATCTTTTTACTCCAAGAATAATAATGTTATGGTGAATATAAAATCCCCTTCAACGTTTTTTGTACATTAGCTGCCACTGGATATACAACAAACCAGAGCGTTGTAGCATAGGGTATGCCTATCCTGCAACCTAAGGCCCGGGTTAGAACTCAAGTTAGCAGACCCTGGGTTTGTTAATCTAGGGTTTGAGCATCTACACTCATTTGTAACCTCAGGTTAGGAATTCATAAACCATTGGTCCCAACCTGGGGCTTCAGCATCTACACCACACTATGCTGGGCCCTCCCAAAATGTGGCTGCTCTAGCCTTTGTTCATGGTGCAGGGTGGGAAAACTTGACTGTCTACCAAAACTTGACTGCCAGAGAACAAAGAAAGTTGGCCAGTGGGATACTTTTGGTGGACTCCCAGAGCATGAGTCCAGTGGGGCTACATCTATACTGCAAAGCAACTGGGGCTTGAATCCTGGGTCCCGGCTTGACTCAGGCTTGGATCCTCCACCCACCCTGGGAGCCTGTGTTAGTGTGATGTGTGTCTCGACAGAAGAGGGGTTAGATTGAGCCTGAGTTCAAATCCTGGACTTACACTGGAGTGTAGACATACCCACAGGATAGGTCTACAGTGTAATAAAATATCCTCAGTACCAAGTCTCAGAGCCTGGGGCAACTGACTCAGGCTGTGGGGCTAAAAATTGTAGGATAGATGTTCAGGCTGGAGTCTGGGCTTTGAGAACCACCCCTCTCGCGGGGTCTCAGAGCGTGGGCTCCAGCCCAGGCACAAAACATCTACACTGCAATTGTATAGCCCCGTAGCCTGAACCCCGTAAGCCCAAGTCAGGTAACCCGGGCCAGCCATGGCTGTGCCATGGGTCTTTTATTGAAATGTAGATATAACCATAGTATCCCAAGTCAATTCAGTCACCAAAAATGTTTTCAGTTAAGTTTTTTTTTTAAACTGTTCTGCTTTTTATTAAGGAGCCCTGTAATAGTTCCTGGAGTACTTCAAGTTTTATATCTTTTGTTTTGTATTCAAAGCTCCTTCTCCTAGTTTGGCACAACATGATACAAAACTAAAATAACTGAGGAGTTACAAATCTCTGTATCCCCTTTTTTAATCACCAAGAAGCAGGATAAATGAGCCAAATCATTTATTCCCTTGGAAAGGATAAGTCATCAGCTCCTGCACCGACACTTGTGCATTGTATTTGATATTAATTTTAAGCACATCAAGCTTCTGAATTAGTGTAACTGAATGCAAAGTCTTTACAAAAGTCACCGTTTGGAAGATGCGGTTACATTCCCAATTCCAGATTAATGATTGATTTTAAAATGTCATCAATTTGCAGCATGTAAGATTTTGTTTTGTTTTGTTAATTTCACTGTCTTGCTCTTTACTCTACCTTTGTTCATTTCACCAAGACTGATATTGTGCAGGAAAATATATTAGACCACAAATAATCACATCTAAATTAAAGTTATATGTATTCTTAAGATACTTTTTAAAACCTAAAATCTTGAAGTCCAAGCAGGCCCTTTTAAAATTAGAAATATTTACCATGAGTGAGCATTAAACTGTTGTGATTTTTTTCAATATATCATTCCTCAGTTTATAGTTTTTGTTTCTTAATAGTTAAATGTTTGATTCTTTTCTTAGCTAGGGAAAATCATAGGCAACTTTTTTTCATCAGTGTTTATAACCATTTAAATTATGACCATCACTTTCCTTTCAGATTGAGAAAGTTGTTTGCTTTAAATAATAAAAAGATGATATATAAGTAGTTTTATATTTTTATGTCTCTCTTATCCCAAAATACATATAAAAATGTAGAATTTAAAGTTGCTATACACCTGATACAGAAACACAGCAATGTCATTATTGGTCAATTTCCAAACATTATATGATAAATGCCAACAAACTCTTTTGTACTACATAGAAAAATAGGTTAAAAACTAAAAAAAAATAAAAAAAAAATCAAAGATTCACTGACATTGTTTTGCTGTCTTTTCTTGCTTTGGTAACCGCAGGTTTTTTTTTAAAAACAGTTTGCATCATCAGATGTAATATAGTCCACAAGTTGTTGAACGTAAAATAGCTGTCACATTAAAATAAGGGACACACACTACCCAGGTTGGTTTGTTTTTTTTCCTTTAGTCTAGAGAACAGTTACAGTACTTTCCAGAAATGGTGTATTCAGGTTTTGTTTATTGAGGTCTGAGCCTCAGGAAGTCATATGCATCAAATGAAACATACTTGTCTGTTTGAAGTGGTAAAATATCAGCTTGGAAGTAAAGCTGTGACGAGTTAGGATATTTTAATTCTAAACCAACAAACCCATCACAAAAAGAAATATTTTAATACAAGCTTTTCTATCATTTCAAATGTTACCCAACCCCATTTGCAAAAAAAATAATTTTCTATTTTGTATTAGTTTGTTTAATGTGAAAACAAGATTGACCATAATTTTTGGCCTACTGAGGAAAGGTATATAATCTCTTAAATTATTTATCAGCAGCTAAAAGACTCTTCAATGTAAGTGTCTTAACCACTGTACAGCTTGATATTTTTAATACTTCAACAGTTATTTTCATTTTTCATTGTTGAAGAAATGATTTCACAATCTCAAATCAAAGTCAACACTGCAGTGAGGAGAGCTTTTCTACTTTATTACAAAGAGAAGAAGCCTTTATGTGGTCAGAAAATACAAGATTGATTTTTTTTTTCTCTTCCTATGAAACGCTGCTGTTCAAACAGCCAGAGTGAATTGTCTCAGTTCACTTCTTTAAGTCCCATCACATTCACTTGGGTATGGATGTCCTTGGCTGCTGAAAATCTGGCCCTTTAGTGCACAGGGCGACAAAGCAGTCCCCTGACCAGCAGTTCCAGAATGTCCCGTTTTCATATATTGCATCCATGCACACCTCCTAAAAATGAGGTACAGCAGGGCAAACATTTTCCAAAATAGATGTCATATATATAATATATACACATTCGTACATACATACCTTTATTCATGTGATGTCCAAAAATTTAAAAAAAATGTACACATTTATTACAAAATTGTAACAAAGACTGGACAGTGTTTTGCTCATTCTGGAAAGATGAAGCTCAGTAATACACAACCCTGGAAACTAACCAGAGGTTGTGGCAATATCTTTCTTCTAAACAGTCAGATATTCTTGCATTAATCTTGGCGAAAACTGCCTTTCAAAAACATAAGGGGAAGTAAAATGAAGGAAGCAGACCTTGCTCATCTTTCCAAATGAAATACGAGAAGGATCTTCACATAAAAATGCACAAACATTTTTTATTACCAATAGTGCTACAATGAACAATGCAAATTGTCTAATTTTGTCTTTTTGCTTTTTTTTTTTTTTTTACATTTTGGAAACTAAGTGGTAAATTTTTGACAGTGTATTCGCTTGTCTTTAGACCCAAGCTTGTCTGCTGGCAAAAAATAAAATAAAATAAACAAAAACAAATTCAGACCCTGCTCAAACTAAAGAAAAACAAATTACAAATTTAGTTGTTGGGCAGCACATAATTAGTAAGGCAGGACCTCAAATGGTGACCCTTTGCATGAGCCAATTGCCAGATCCTCAAGGAATTAAAACCAGGATGCCTGAGCCACATCAGTTCTGCAGTTATGTTGAGTATTGTGCTGAGACAGCCATACCCCAAGAAAAGGGAAGTCTTTAGAAGGCTTGCTGAGCAGGGTTGTAGTTGAAGGTTGATGGCAGATGAGGCCTTTCTTCTAATTTGTCATATTCCAGATGGAACTCCTACAATTAAACAAAAAGGGTTATTTAATTGTTGATATTTCCCTTGCATACGCAAATGTCTGTATCCATGACGAGCAACTTCTCTTTAAATAAAATGATGCTTTTAGAAATAGCTTGATTTAACTCCTATTATATAAATGAGGCAAAAAATACTTGTGACCATAGTTAGTTATTTAAAAAAAAATCAATATAATATAGTGCAGTATCTGCAATAGCACCGTCTTACCCATTTTTTAAATGGCAAGTTAGCTTCAGAAACCTAGTTGTGAGCACTTAAAACTATTAAACATACAGACAAGACACAAATGTGCAGGTAAGTCAACTAAACTTTTAGTAAAGCTATTCTTCAGAAATTCTAAAAATATTAACTAAGAATTAATTTAGAAGACATG